AATTAAAAAAACTGCATTTAAGTACACTTTAGAGATTGAGAAGGCAAGCAAACCAAAAATAATAATCCAAGTAAGCACTTGGAAGCCATTTCGTTGTCATTTGTTGATTCTGGGAAAACAGGGAAGTAAAAAGTTGAAGGGGGGAATTATAGAGTTCCCCTCAACTCTTCTTCAACAAAGCAACAGGACAAATCCAGGGTGCATTTCTTGCATGTGTGACAATTTGCCCTATAATCCTGGTATTATTTAATATCCCATTAACATATTAGAATTTAAACCAGAGCTGTCAGCAGATGACATGCAGCTTCGGCTGCTCTCAATAAATAGGATATTTCTCCCCTTTATAGGATTGTACTCTAATGAAGTGACAAGGCATCATGGCTTCAAGGTACAAGCATCACTCCGCTGAAAACATCACTTACCCAAATCCATTTCTCTGTAACAAGTACAGTAATGACCTATTACAGTAATATCATGAGGTAACAAAACGTAGAATAATGAGGCCCAATGCAACCTAACTCTTCCCGTTGTCTGTGTTGCCAGCGGCAACAATGACTTCTGGTTAACGTTGTATGACAGAAGATCTCAGAGAGGCCTTGTAAATGATGCAGCCCAGCATTAAACAAGATGCTTTTTCATTCCCATCTTTCATGGCAGGTAAAAAAAATAAAGGGGGGGGGGAGTAAGTAACAGTTTCAAGGCTCAAAGTATAGATGCTCTTTATCCAATACAAATTAAAGAATATTCTAATGTTTCTCCAACTCTGTCGAACTGTACACACAACTCTTTGTACCCTGGGAAGGGCATCCCAGAGGCAAAAAGGGAAGCTTGAATATGTGATCTCTTAAAAACAAAAAAAATGTGCGGGCCATTTGTAAGCCCAAATCAGCTAGTGGATGCAATGTTCATTTTGATATCGTCTCCCTCTCTCTCTCTCTCTCTCTCTCTCTCTCTGCATGTGTAATTTTGGGGGCATAGGTGTAAGCCTTTTTAAACTGCACTTCATATTTTGATTTTTGCTTAATGTGATATGTTTTTATTAGTATTTTTAATATGATTTACAGTGGTACCTCAGGTTAAGTACTTAATTTGTTCCGGAGATCTGTTCTTATGTTGAAACTGTTCTTAACCTGAAGCACCACTTTAGCTAATGGGGCCTCCTCCTGCTGCCGCGCCGCCGGAACACGATTTCTGTTCTTATCCTGAAGCAAAGTTCTTAACCTGAAGCACTATTTCTGGATTAGCGGAGTCTGTAACCTGAAGCGTATGTAACCTGAAGCGTATGTAACCTGAGGTACCACTGTATTAATATTTTAAGCTGTTGCAAACCATTTAGATGTCTTTTTCCAGTAAGCAGTAGATATGTTTTGCTAAATAAATAAAAATAGTAACTCCCTTACTGTTGGGCGGACTGGCAGAGCCCACCACCCCATCGCTGCTGCAGGAAATATGCCGCTAGTCCAGATGAAGCCCTTGGTCTGACTCATCAGGTCTCTTCTAATGCTTTAAGGTAAGAGGCAAATGTCCAAACAAAACAATACATTGAACACTGAAGCACGTTTCCCTGATGTTTGTAGGATTAGGCCACATTGAAAGTACGCATTTATAGTACGTGGTTCCCACCCACCCCATGCAACAAGCCTGGGAACTGCAGTTTGTCAAGGGCACCGGCAACTGTAGCACCGAAAGCAGTAATCTATGGTTCCCGGGATTCTCTGGGAGAAAACCATGAGCTTTCAAGGCTTGGTGTGCATGTGACCTCATTGCCCCACTGATGTGGTTTAACTGTGAGAAGGTCCACCGAGTTCAACAAGACAAGTGGTGTGCTTAGAGTGAAACCTGTCAATGGGTTACAGCACAGCTCTTAATTATGATTCATTTTTAAGGTTCACAGGGCGACCGAACAAGGTGTAGTGGTGCTATCTAGTCTAGTGAGCCATTTATTTTAATGGTCATGGAATATGTTATGATGTTCGCTAGAGCTGAAATAAATCATGGCTGTCAAACTCATGAATAATACACACATAGGCAGAGGTTGCCTGTTATTTTGAGAAATGTTCACGTTTTAATTTGTGCTGCTCATGTATTCTATTAGGTTTGCTTTGATGTAAATGAAGGTGAGGGAGATATCATAAATTGAGACGCCTAGGAACATTTATTTATGTGCTGAATTTATATCCCGCCCTTCCTCGCAAAGAAGCTCAAGGAGGCAAACAGCAAGCAATAAAACAATAAAAATGTCTTTGAAACACCTGAAAAACAGTTCCATTGTGCACGCACACTTCCTATTTTCTTCTACAAAAGAGAACGGCTGGTCATATATCACGTACGAAATGCTTATGAACATACAAACACTTTCATCTCATGAAAGAAGAAATTAAGCTCTTTATATGGCATGTCTGCCTTGTAGCCAAATGTTCTAGAGACAGTGTGGCATAGTGGTTAGAGTGTGAGTCTAGGACTGCTGAGACCTGAGTTCAAATCTCCACTTAGCCCTGATTGTCACTGGGTGACCTTGGGCCAGTCACTATCTTGAGACCTAATGTACCTCACATGTTGGTTGTGAGACGAAAAGTGGGGGTTTGGTGCTGCCTTGACCTTCTTGGGATGAATAAAATTAATCAGGGGCTGCCTGTTATTTGTGAGGAGTCAAGGAGCGCTCCGTGTGTGCAATGCTGAAATTTACACCGAGAGTAAATATGGAACATGCCTGGCATAGAAGAAAAAGAGATAATAACCGTGTGCTCAGTAGAACCCCATGAAAGCTTTGGCTTGGGTGGGGCTTTTGCATTGATTTCAAATTCATCCACCCGATCACAAAAGTGTGTGCCAAATAACAGACATGCCCATTCAATAATAGTTCAGCTGCTTAGAGCTGCTTAGAGATAACTGCATTGCAGGGAACTGGACCTGATCCTCAGGGTCCTTTCTATGGTGTGTGGCAGAGTAGGGACAAGCAGGCTTGCTCCACCCCCTCCATCACATCACCATACCTGGCTCTGCCACACATTGCAGGGGAACATACCATATGGGAAGGGATGTAGCTCAGGCATCTGCCTAGCATGCAGAAGGTCCTGGGTTCAGTCCTCAGCATCTCCAGGTAAGGCTGGTAGAGGCCTGGAACTCTGAAGAGTCACTGCCACTTAGTGTGGACAATACTAATCTAGGAGGACCAATGCTCTGATTCAGTAGCAGGCAGATTTCTATGTTCCTGTGTTCCAGGGCAAATGTGCTCCCTGTGAGAGATTTAGAATCCTGCAAGCAGCCACCCAAATACAGCAGGCTCTCTGCTGCAGTTATTTGCCATTTCTCAGAGGCAGTGTGGGATGCGGGTGGCGCTGTGGGTTAAACCACAGAGCCTAGGACTTGCTGATCAGAAGGTCGGCGGTTCGAATCCCTGCAACGGGGTGGGCTCCCATTGCTCGGTCCCTGCTCCTGCCAACCTAGCAGTTTGAAAGCACATCAAAGTCAAGTAGATAAATAGGTACTGCTCTGGCGGGAAGGTAAATGGCATTTCCGTGCGCTGCTCTGGTTCGCCAGAAGCGGCTTAGTCATGCTGGCCACATGACCTGGAAGCTGTACGCCGGCTCCCTTGGCCAATAAAGCGAGATGAGTGCCGCAACCCCAGAGTCGGTCACGACTGGACCTAATGGTCAGGGGTCCATTTACCTTTACCTACAGAGGCAGAGTGTCTTCCTTGCAGGCAGGTCGCAGGTTCAATCGCTGGCATCTCCAGACAGGGTTGGGAGAGAATCCTTCCCAGAGAGCCTCTGCCAGTGTAGATAATACTTAATGCCAGAACAGAGGTTTAGTGAATCAAATGCCCATGGATAAAGAACATTAAATGGAAAATTCTCAAATCCTGAAACCGACTGTTCTAGCGGTGGATTTTGGATGCACAGCAAACTAGGCGCTGAAAGTTATCCCAACAAACTCTAATGTTTCAAAATGCAATTGCAATGTTTTCTGTGACTACCCACATAATATTTAGACGCAAATAGACAATTCAGCCTTAATAGTGAGCCGCTACCATGATTTAGCACCAAACGAAAACGGTTATGAGAGAATTTAGCAAAATAAACACTGCAGTAAAAAGAAGAGCTCCCATAATTTGCAGGGTAAACAGAATTACTTAAAAAAAAAAAAAATTCCAAGTCTGCTAGGCTTGCAAAGCCATTGGAAAGCTAAATTAAAACCAGCAAAGAGAGGAAAGCACACAAAAATTAGGCAATAAAATTAGTGTGTCAAAATATGAAATATTAATTGTTTAGTGCCTGTTAAGATTGTTCTATAAATATTTTAGCCTGCTGTCCACAGCATCCCTTTGGACCAAACCCTAATCCCCCATATCCTAATGTGAATTGCTGATGGAGCTCAGGCCAAGAAGGGGAGGGGGAATGATGCAGAGGGCAGAAGTAGGCAGTACAGCAGAGGGGGTAACCTAAAATTAATGTGCATGAAGTAGACAGCTACGCTGGAAATCAGAGAAGGCCTTGCACAACCACTGATGCCATCAAGGCAGGACTCTAGGGCAGGGATGGAAGGCAGCACTCAGCAGAATGAGCAGAAAGGCTTCCAAATAGAGCAGGGCTGGGCTTGCTAGCATTTTGGCCCCATCTGCACTATACAGTGGTACCTCAGGTTAAGTACTTAATTCGTTCGGGAGGTCCGTTCTTATCCTGAAACTGTTCTTAACCTGAGGCACCACTTTAGCTAATGGGGCCTCCTGCTGCTACCGCGCCACCGGAGCACGATTTCTGTTCTCATCCTGAAGCAAAGTTCTTAACCTGAAGTACTATTTCTGGGTTAGCGGAGTCTGTAACCTGAAGCGTATGTAACCTGAAGCGTATGCAACCCGAGGTACCACTGCACATTCAAAGCAGTACTATACCACTTTAAACAGTCACCCCTTCCCACCCAAAGAGTCCTGGGTAGTTAAGGGTGCAGAGAGTTCTTAGGAGACCCCTATTCTCCCCTACAGAGTAACCATTCCCAGAGCAGTTTAACTGTGGTGCAATGGGTCAGTGTGTCTGGTGGTTAACCAGAAGGTTGGTGGTTTGAACCCACCCAGGGACAGCTGTGGTGGGATTCCTGCGTTCCAGAGGTTGGAGCAGATGAGCCTTGGGGTCCCTTCCAATTTTACTTGTGATTCTATGAATTCCTCTTCCCCGGGAACTCTGGGAATTGTGAAGTAAAGGACATGAGACAGGAGTTGGTAATGCAGGTGAGCTGTGCACAGGCGAGCTGCAAGCAAGCTGCCGTCTAGCGCTGTGGAGGCTCCTTTTATTGGCACAATATGCAAAACCAGTCAGATACATTTTGGACTGTGACCTTTACACAGCTTCCAATCCCGAGATTGTGGGGTGGTACAAGGTTATTTTGGCACCTGTTTCCACCGCGTCATTTCCCCCTTGCACAATGTATGACGAAGGAGACAAAAGGCACAGAAAGGGCACAGCAGACTACTGAGACTGCAAAAGGCTACGCAGAGGGCAAGATGTTCAGACAGCTGTGGCTTTATCTGTGAGGGGGAGTGTGCTCCGCACCCCAAGGTCATGCGTGCAGACAGCTGAGGCTGCCCGCGGGCAGGAGTGTGCTCCACAACCCAGCGACCATTCCTACTGTAACTGTCTAATAGTCTTATAACATGTCTCAGCACTATTAATAAGCAACGGTTTCTGGGAATTTCTGTAGTAGGCCATGACAGTTGATGTGATATGATACTGCTTTCAATTCACAGTGCAGATGGGCCCTTGATACGAGTGAAACAATGCACGTTGCAATCTAAAGAGGGGCATCAGAACTCATCTAGGGAGAAAACCAGGGCAGAGCCTTTAGCTACTGACCCCAACACCTATTTATTTCTTCTTCTTTTGAAGACATCCAACCAAATATGGAATAGAAGTGGGAATGTTTGCTTCATTGGGTTATAAGACCCGCTGAGTACAATCAGTCCAGAAGTGTTTTGCTTAATTTACACGAAACTTATTCCAGACAGATATCATGGTTACAAATATACTTTGACCCTATGCCTTGAAATACTCCTTTTGATGTCAACAGCACCTTTCTTCTGATGTTTTAATGGAGAGCGGCAAAACCTATTTTTGTACTATCTCAATGAAACTTCTCTTTTCACAGGATTATGAGATTTAGAGAGGAAAGTGGGCCTCTTCGCCCCAGGCTTCCAAGAACAAAAATGAGAACTTTTAGAAGGAGTTGCTTACCTGTTATCTGCTCAATCTGTCCTTTAAAATAGAACTTGGCTCCTCTTGTATTTTAAATAAAACTTTCACCCAGTCACTGCCACACATAGCCCAGGACAACCCAGATATTCTGAGCAGTGATCCCACCTCATAGTAGTTCTAATCTTAGAGGAACAGCTGGTTTTGTTTCAGCACCACACTTTTTAGATGGGCTGAAAGTATAATTCTATAATGTCTCCTCAGAAGTAAATACAATTGGGCAGGATTTGCCAAATCAGCCCCATCAGGAGAAGCCCTGAACAAAGACTTCCAGTTGCACAATGGGGCTTTCCCCCTATCCCCAAAATTGGCCTGGGGGGGAGTGGAAGAAACCCTAAAACAGCAGAGAGTTTAACTCTTTATTCACCTTCTGCAATCCCACAGAACCTTCCCTTGAATTGCCTAGACTTGTTTGTAGAACAAACTTTTTCCCACCCTAGCTAGTGAATAAAAGATATCCGTCTGGAATTATGTAACACATCTCTAAATATATACAACAGCAGGTCTTCTGTATTGCAAAAGCATGTTTTAGTGTTCAGCGCAATGAAGTGTTTGTGTTTATGGGTCTTAATAGCTGATTAACACATGTTTTATTTATTTAAGATATTTATGTGCCTCATTTCAGGCAAACCTTTGATTATTTATTTGTGAATAAATGAGAACATTTTCACTTTAGTTTGTAATCATAACATAAGCGAGATGTTGCATTGCAGCAGCTTCTGTGGATGCAGCATGTACAACAGGTGTGGAGAGTCTTTGGCCTTCCAGATGTTACCAAACTACAAACTCCCATTATCCCTCTAGCCATAGGCCACGCTTGCTAGGACTGATGGGGATCTTAAATTACACAGAACCCTTCAGTAGTATTGGAATATTTACGGTATGTACTGCTCAAAAGTATGCATATTACTGCACCTACAAAAGTTGGTTGGTCACCTATGAGAAGAGTGCTTCTCTTATTACCATCAGTTGTGCAAAGAGTGAGATCTGTTAAGTATAACTGGTTCAATTGACACCAAAATGGGGATGGCTGTGTATTGCTGAAGGTGAACATGGGGAAATTCCATTATATACTGTGGGACTCTAAGCTCCTTAATGGTTTGATAATTCACTAACTGTGTTTTCTGCTAGCACTAAACTGAAAGTAACCTTTGATCATGTGATAAAGCTATTGAGTTGCAAATTCGCCATCTTGGAAGGGTGGTGGCTGGTTCTTTGTTTTCTCCCAAACTCCATGGAAAGAGGATGTAAATGCAGCTGTCCAGGTGAATAGCCAAAGGTAGAAAGCAAATATGGTCTGAAGCTCAACATCAAAAAAACTAAGATCATGGCCACTGGTCCCATCACCTCCTGGCAAATAGAAGGGGAAGAAATGGAGGCAGTGAGAAATTTTACTTTCTTGGGTTCCATGATCACTGCAGATGGTGACAGCAGTCACAAAATTAAAAGACGCCTGCTTCTTGGGAGAAAAGCAATGACAAACCTAGACAGCATCTTAAAAGCAGAGACATCACCTTGCCAACAAAGGTCCATATAGTTAAAGCTATGGTTTTCCCAGTAGTGATGTATGGAAGTGAGAGCTGGACCATAAAGAAGGCTGATCGCCGAAGAATTGATGCTTTTGAATTATGGTGCTGGAGGAGACTCTTGAGAGTCCCATTGGACTGCAAGAATATCAAACCTATCCATTCTTAAGGAAATCAGCACTTAGTTCTCACTGGAAGGACAGATCCTGAAGTTGAGGCTCCAATACTTTGGCCACCTCATGAGAAGAGAAAGACCCTGATGTTGGGAAAGATGGAGGGCACAAGGAGAAGGGGATGACAGAGGACGAGATGGTAGGACAGTGTTCTCGAAGCTACCAACATGAGTTTGACCAAACTGCAGGAGGCAGTGGAAGACAGGCGTGCCTGGCGTGCTTTGGTCCATGGGGTCATGAAGAGTCGGACATGACTAAACGACTAAACAACAACAACAAGAAGAATGCAAATTGTGGGAAGAGAGAGACTTCTTTTTCTAGGTCTGTTTGGATTATTTCATATTTTCTAAAATGCTGAGCCTGTGCTGGATATGCACAAGACACGGATATTTTAGATGTATCATTTGGAATTTTAATTCTGTTATGAAGAAAGTTATGCAAGTAAAACCTTGATAAATATTTTTATGGGTCTGGACAATGTTTTCTTCCAAAAGAAGTCAGTTCTCATGCTTCCAGTTGCTTCAAACTGCACAGTATTAATATCTGCAATAAGATCTGGGATGATCTGGAATAAGGTAAAGGAAAAAAAAGGTAAAGGATTCCTGGATGGTTAAGTCCAGTCAAAGGCAACTATGGGGTTGCAGTGCTCATCTCGCTTTTAGGCTGAGGGAGCCAGTGTTTGTCCACAGACAGCTTTCCATGTCATGTGACCTGCATGACTAAACCACTTCTGGTGCAACAAGAAGAAACCCAGAGCACATGGAAATAGTGTCCTCCCTAAAAGAGGGCATGTGTTGCGGTGAGACCTGGAGACTGACCTCCTGTGTTGTGGGTGGGTTGGATTGGTTAGCCATAACACGCAATTGGTAGGTCCCTCAATGTTGGGTTCAATCTGGCTGGCCAATGGGGCGCAGTCTAAAAGTTGCAGTTATTATGCATGTTTTCCTGGAAATATGCTCCATTGGTGATAGTGGGACTGACTTCTTGAATAAGCATCCATAGGATCGCATTCCATGCATTAAAAAAGGCTTCGAAGATCACTGGACAAATGCCAGTACAACACATTGGTGGTGTTTTTAGAAAACCAGAACATGTAACTTGGAACCTCCTAATCCAGGGAGAATAAGAAGAATTCTATAAGTACTAGTTTGGTTTTCTTGCAGCAATATTCATTAAAAGAAATTAAGGTGACCACATCTTTTGAATCTATGCAAAACTCTATATGAACAATAGGAGAGGCATCTGGAAGGGTGTGTGGGATTAGCAGAATAAGGACCTTTCTAGTTATTTCAGATAGTGGCAATTGATTAAATTGGTTTGCAGTGGAAATAAAGTTTTTTTAAAAAAAAAAATTTAAAACAAAGGCATCAAAGAGAACAATTTAAATGAATTACACAGAAAGGCATCATGTTTAACTGAGCAAAGTATTAGACTTAAATTATTCGCCTCTAGTGACCCTTGAAAAAGGCTTATATTTGTGACCTGCATATAAAAAGCTTAGAAATGCTAATCATTCCATCTGGAAATCAAAATCATAAACGGTTACATTAATGAATACTTCCAGTTAACTCTCACATTCAGACATTGTTAGCAATTTTGTTTTGACAAAAAGCGATTAGAATATTTATTGTTGCCTAAGCTTTTTTCTGTGCAGCGGGTTACAGAATGAAACATGTTTTGAGTTTAATTCAGAAAAGCACAAATCTTTATTAAAACACAGTTAGTCAAGTTAATTATATGATATTCCTGAACAAAGGGATAAATCAGCAAAACCTTTAAGTTTGTAATCTAAAAGGCAAACAATACTTTGTTGGGCTGACCTGTGGAGCTCTTTAACGTTGATGGGAATGAATTGAGGGGTGTTTATGTGTTCTCTGTTTTAGATTAAAATATTACAATTCACATTTTCCTTAAGACTTTCAGATCATAATATTTAAACTATTAAACCCATTAATATTATGTTGATACTTGTATCTACACTGCTCTGGAATCTGTTTCCCATGAAAACAGTTTAGAAAATTTCAAAATAAACGAATAAATAAGTTCAGATTGACTTCCAGCTCAGTAATAATAATAATTTAAAAAGCTAAACCAAAACAGAAAATTTCAGAGTAAATGAATAAATCAGATTGACT